TATCGTTATCGCAAATTTTCAAATGTATATCGTGATAAATATTTTTGATCATATCGTCCTGCTCTAATAACCAGCTGCTTTTCCATTGAGTCCCTCATCTTGTGGTTGGTCTCCACCTCGGCACACTCAGTGAGCTTTTTACATGTTTTAAAGACTTCTTCTAGCAACTAATTCAACTGTCGCTGTATATCGAGATGAAATAAATCAAATCAAATACATTTTCTTCACCCTCAGAAAATAACTGTTTAGCAACCTCTCACTTTGTATTATCATATTGCCAAACCGTAAGCACATTAACACAGATTTAGAAATAGCATTTGGCTATTTCTAAATCTGTGTTTCTAAATCTGTGTTAGGCGGTGAATAAATCCAAGATAAGGAGACTTTTTGTCCAGACAGTACATGGAACAGTTTTCCATAGTTTAACATTAGCAGCAAAGCTCCAGAAATGAAGAACCTGGCAACGAATGGCCAGGTGAACACACAGGCACTGTCAATATATGTAAAGGACCATAGAAAAAAACAAGGTCACTTATTCCAATGTGTGTCACCTAGGGACACAGTTATCTTCTTCAGTCTTGTTTTAACACTGGATGAATGAAGGTGTGCACATGTGTGTGCTGACTTTGAACTTATATTACCGTAAATGACGTATTCTGGACAAAGTAGACATGACACAAGGTATTTTGGTAGAATGTGTACAGTGCACAAAAGTAGGACAATATATAAGAAAGTCTTTTAATCATCTCCTCTAAACTGTGATAATGATGAAGGTCTCTGCTAAGGTTCAACAACATTGCACTGAATAACACTCAGGTCTGTAAATATAAATGAGTTGTACAGAGCACAGGCGGCTTGCCACACAACATAATATTGAGTCAACACAGGTGGAGGAAAAAAGACTTATGGAGAAACACATAAGCAGAGAGTATTAGCTCTCAGCATCCTACAATGGCAAAAACCATTATAATGCAACCTGGACTCCTTTGCGGTTTTAGTCTAAACAAAATTCAGGCCAGAAGACATTATCATGAACACAAACAAACAGCTGGGTGCAACAGGAAAAGGAAATGAGAGGTAGTAGACAGTCAACAGTCCAGCAGAACAGGCTAAGACATGCAGTGGCATGGTTACGCATTACAAGGAAGCATGTCTGCATCTGGTGTATGTTACTGTAGAACCTGCTCGCTCATTTGCTTTGTTATACAATAATGCTCATATTTTCCTGTACTCTGGTGCCTGGTAATCTGACACAACAGAAAGTTCATGGATGCTTCTACAGGACAACATCTTATGTAAAAAAAAAGTTGGTTGTCCAAAGTTTATGTAAAATAAACCATAGCATCCTCTGGTAACATGCTCAGGTAGCATGTTGACTCAGGTCCTGGCTTCAAACCAGCAGGTTTCTTTGGGTTCCCATGCTGATTCATCTCACCAGGACATTGTCACAAAACAGATTCTCAAGAGTTTCCTGCTACTTTAATTTATTTTATCTATTTGCTCAACGTTTTATCCTTATTATTTTGTAAATTGTTATGTTTGTTGTTGTTATTCCTTGTGTACAGTGTCCTTGAGTGTTTTGAAAAGCACTTTCTTAAATAAAATCTATTGTTATTATTATTATAATTATTATTATTATTGTTGTCAAGAGATGTATTCTAAAACACTTCTTCAGCTGAGAATCAGAGAGGAGAAACACACAGTTTTACTTGCATGCAAGGGCAGTACAGAGCACTCGCACTGAGTGAGAGCTCTGAGACTCGCAGCTCTGAGACTGCCCTGATCTTTATTTATACATCAGTGGGTGTTTGTTCCTTACATTGGAATGTGGAGGTGTATATGTCTGTGTGTGTGTGTGTGTGTGTGTGTGTGTGTGTGTGTGGGTTGTCTGTCCCTGTGTGTTAGCCCTGTGACAGACTGGCGACCTGTCCAGGGTGTACCCTGCCTCTCGCCCTATGACAGCTGGGATAGGCTCCAGCGACGGACAATGGATGGATGTATGAGCCAATGAAGGGAAGCCAAAACAGGAGAAATCTGCTCTCTCTTTCTAGTCCCTGTCAGGACTCTTGCTGCAGCGTTTTGGATTAGCTGAAGACTTTTCATTTAGTTTTTAGGACATCCTGATAATAATGAATTATTGTTCTCTTACACTCATCACCTGATTTGAATATATTGTTTTTCATATATATTTTTTCAGTGTTTTATTATTGTATTCTGTTCTATTCCAGCCTGGACGAAGCCAGCTCTACCAAAACTCCCTATGTCTACTTATATAATACAGGTCATGTATATGATGATAAGCCCATCACAGTGGTCACTTCTTGCCAATTGGGAATCTACACCTTTCCCTTTGATATCCAAAACTGCTCGTTGACCTTCGGATCATATTTACACTTTGGTAAGGCTGCCTGAAAATGTAAAAAAAAAAAAAATCTCAAAGAGTCTTAAAAATTATTTTTTTAAACTCTAAAACATCCCTATAGAGCACAGGTGTCAAACTCTGGCCCGCGGGCCAAATTTGGCCCGCAGCCTAATTACATTTGGCCCGCGAAGCCATACCAAATTACTATTAGAGCTGGCCTACTGGTATTATACAGCTAATATATATATTGTTTAGTATTAAGCTTTGCTTGTTCCATATTCAGTTTTTCAGCAAAACTTGTTTGAGTCCATAAGAAAAGATTCATTCTTATATCTGGAGGAATTAAATATATTTCAATAAATATTAACGTTAGCCCGCGACTTTGTTCCAGTTTTGAATTTTGGCCCACTGTGTATTTGAGTTTGACACCCCTGCTATAGAGCATCCATATTCTGATTTTAACACAAAACTATGTGCTAATATGCAAATAAGCAAAAGTCTTGAATGTCACTCTAGCTACGGATATTCAGATGATTCAAGGCGCCACAGCTGAAAAGGTCCTGAAAGAGTCCCAAGATGTGATTGTAACCAATGGGGAGTGGGAGCTGACAGATATAAATATTGCCGATTCCAGCCTGCATTTAGACAGTGGAAGCTACTCTGAGATCACATACTATGTAAGCGTGTTTTTACTGACTTTTTCATCCTTCTGATAATTTATTTTGTACTGTTATAGCTGATCACACTTTATTGTTTAATAGTTCCTAATTATGGGAAGCCTTTATAAACCAGTCGCTATCATATTGAACATGTTTGTTGTGAGAATGAAAGTAAAGTAAAATCAGGTGCAGATGATGCATGAGTGAAACATAAAGAAACTGAACTGTGCTGTGGTGGCACAGGACAGCAGGGATTACATCCAGCATTTTGGAAGTTGTTTCCGTTTTAAAAGCTTCATTTCTAATATTTGATGTAATGAGACATCTCATTTATTGACCAAAATTCTGAAGCAGTTGGTAAAAACTAAGTACATCCCATGATTCAGTGACTTTAGCAGCAACAACTTGATGTAATCATTTTCTGTCAGTCACATCTGTAGAGGAAAAAGATTGATTGATGCATACAATCGAACAAAAATCTTACAGGTTTAATACTTGCCTCTTCCCAAGATCGTGCTCAGACGGAGACCAATCGCCTATGTGGTCAACCTCCTGGTCCCCAGCTGTTTCCTAATCACAGTGGACCTCTTCAGTTTTGTGCTGCCCCCACAGAGCGTGGACAGATCCTCCTTCAAGATGACACTCATCCTGGGCTACACCGTCTTCCTGCTCATAATGAATGACCTGCTGCCTGTTACCGGGGAGAAAACACCGCTCATCAGTGAGTGTACATAAATGTAGAATCGGCTGCATAGTTCTTCTTTTGAAGAAATACACTGTGCTGTATTTATACACTTAAGGAGGTTAGAGACAGTGTTTCTGAAAGACAATACAGTGTCCTTTGGATTATGAAGGGTTGAATTCAAACATCTGTGGAACAGACGTCTCGAAATCTAATTTTCACCAAAACCGTCAGTTCCTAAAAAAACAAGTTTTCTAAACTGTGAAACTCTTCACCGAAGTACATTTTGCAAAACTGGATGATCCCGATCAGTGTCAACTTGCCAAAAGGCTCCACCTACTAAAGACACATTTATTCTTGGGGTGTGTTGTTTTTTTTTTTTAGCTCTAGTTGTCATGTCAAAGACACACAGCAAGATAAGGCATCTATGGCTGTAATCCAGACATTTCTTAAACACGATGGTAACTAAGACTGAGAAAGAGAATATGAGCTCACATGTGAAAATGATTTAATGAAAACTGTTCTGAGTTCTTCCTGTCTTTGGTGCTGTTTCCTGCAGATGTTTTCTTCTCCATCAGTCTGGCGCTGATGGTTGCCAGCCTGTTGGAGACGCTGTTCATCACAAACATTCAGTACAAGCCCAGAGAGTACAGCGCAGTGCCTCACTGGCTCAGTGTCCTCGTGTTACGTTATCTAGCTGTTCTTGTTTGTATCCCTCCAAAGCAAAAGAGCAACCGAGTCACAGTCTCCCTCAATCCATCTCACAGAGGTACGTTATTATTTTTATAGTCCCGTTATTAATAGAAGATTTTGTTAAGAGCCCAAGCTGAAGAAACAGCTGTGGCCTGTATTGACTATAGTGGACTATGTGTTAGGTTAAACAACATAATGCTGGCATTATGGCTGAGGATTGTGTGTTCCAGCTATAGGGAGATCACATTCCTGAGCCTCCCTGGGAAAGTCTATGCCAGGGTGCCGGAAAAGAGAGTCCGTTCGTTAGTCGAACCTCGGATGCAGGAGGAACAATTTGGTTTATGTTTTGCTTGGACCAGCTGTTTACCCTCTCGAGGATACTCGAGGTGTATGGGAGTTTGCACAACCAGTCTACTTGTGTTTTGTGGACTTGGAGAAGGCATTCACCCATGTCCCTGGTGAGATGTTCCTCAGAAGTATGGGGTGTCTAGCCCCATTAATACGGGCCATTCAATCCTTACACAAATGTTGCAGGAGCTTGGTCCGCATAGCCAGCAATAAGTCAAACATGTTTCTGGTGCGTTGGACGCCAACAGTGCTGCCCTTTGTCACTGAATCTGTTCATAATCTTTATGGACATAATATTTAGGCATAGCCAAGTGGCAGAAGGCTTCCACTTGGGTGGCCTCAGAATTTCATCTCTGCCTTTTGCAGATGATGTGGTTCTGTTGGCTTCATAAGGTGACTGCCTCCAGCTGGCACTGGAGTGGTTTGCAGCTGAGTGTGAAGAGGCAGGATTCAGAATCAGCACTTCCAAATCTGAGGCCATGGTCCTCAGCCAGAAAAAGGAGTGCCCACTGAGGGTCAGGGATGAGTTCCTGCACCAAATAAAGGAGTTTAAGTACACTCTAAAATGAAAGCATAGTACAAATAAGCAATTGGAGTTTTAAAAAACAGGATGGAATCAATTTCTTTTATGCAACGCGATGATGGCTGCATGTGTTTCTTTGCAGTCACCAATGATTTCAAAAATGACCCTCCTTTTAACAAATCCAGTCCGCTATTTTAACTCAATAAATGAGTAATAATAATGATCTCCAGCCTTGTGCTCATCAACATTCTCATCTGAGTTAACAAGAAGATTATGGAAATGATGTCAGCAGATCCTTTTAGGGCAGCGATGAAATGCAGTGGAAATGTCAAAAAGGACTTTGCACATGCAAGCGAGCTGTATATGCAGCATCGGTGGGATATTGTCGCCTGGGACGTATCTTTGTTCAAATAATGAACGTTATTTATGCATGGCACTCGAAAAAAAGACTTTGCCAAATTCGATCTATCATCTTCGTAATAAACATTGCCATAGAAAGACTCAGTTTCGACAATTGCGCATTAGTGCGATCATAAATTATTTCGATGGACGGAGACAGAAGCACGCAATGATGGTAAGTAAACATTTTATTTCGCTAGTTTCTGTCTACACAAATCTACTGTCTCGTGTTCATCTCATCTGATTTCCTGAAGTCAGTCCTCGAGCTCTCGCTGCCTTGATCACCCGAGCGTTTACTTGGAGAAGAGGAGAGTATGTGACGCTTGTCTGATTAACTCTACAGAGGTTATTAGACTCCTATCGATAGCCTCTTTATCCTTTTGGTAGAGATGCTGGAGGCTAGGAACACACAAAATAATTAATTGCATTAAGAGACGAGAGAACGATATGCATTCCGGCCATCTTTAAGCGTATTCATAAAAAGAAACGTGAATGCTTGTCCCGTTCCCTTCATGCTCAATTCGGTGTACTGGATGACTCCCAGTACGAACTGAAAGAGAGACAATGGACAAGGTGGCATCAATAATAGCTGTCTCACAAGTACGTGGTGGCAGTGTCCTCGCGTGTAGAAGACGTCACCATCATGACTGTCAATAAGATGATATTATCCAGATACACAATTTTCTCGAGTTAGGAGAATATGTACTTTTGGGTTAGTCAGAACCACTCTCTAGTCATCATTTTGAAATGATGAATACAATTATTGTGAAAGGTTTTATCTATTGGAGGATTATGAAAGGTAGTGACTCGTGTCCGCTGTGATCGTGAGCCGATATCAGTCTCCCGAAGGCGGCATTAGTGTGAGCACTGTCCTCGAGGGATTGTATGCCGTCTCATCTGGCCATTTCACCAGCCACCATTCTGTGTGAGCGTGCGTTATGCTGGATAAGGGTACCTTGTAGGAGGGGGCCGGGCAGTAAGAGGTCTGAGACTTCTCCGCTTAGGGCTGCTGCCACCGTGACCCGGCCCCTGTAGATTACACTTGTCCCATGTATGATGTGTACTGAGACGCAAGAAGATAGAGATTAAAAAACGCAGATTGTTTTTTCAAAGAGGTTTCTCTTTCTTAACGAGTCTATAATATTGAACTCTTGTTTTACCACGATATGACAGCCAAACCACATGTAACTGTTGGGATTTCACAGACCGCAGGATTTAGGGAAGTTTAATATAGCCACCACACACACACACACACACACACACA